GCAGACAGCAGAGAGCCTGATGTGGGCCTCGAACCAGTGAACCATGAGACCATAACTTGAGCCGAAGGCAGCCACTTAGCCGACTGAGCCACTCAGGTGCCCCTAAACATTTATCTTTGAATCAGAATCTCACGTTTGGAAATTTTTTCCACGGATATATGTATATAAAATGTGTGTAGAAAAACATTCATTATATTATTGCACGCAACAGCAATACAACAGCAACAATAAAAATGAAACCAGAGTTAATAAACATTCATTAAAATATCTACGGAGGAGTGGTCCCCAGTGTAAATGGTGAAATGAAACTTTCAAAATTCTCTCTTTCATAAAAGCAATGAGTAATGAGAAAGATTTCTGTTTCAATAATTTGAAATAATTATCACAACCATTAACATGGATATACAAGTTTATGGTTTATAGAGCACTTTCTGTGAATTACCATTTGATCGTTACAATAGCCACGAAGATAGATACGTATGTACAAAGATGAAATAGTCCCACGATCTCCTAACGTATTCACACTATGCTAGATGCAGCAGGCATCTTAATAGGAATCCACAAACATTACCTGAAAATGCCACTAGTAAATATTTTAGATTTTGTGAGCCATACTTTCTCTGGCCACCTCTTAATACTACCGCTTTTGGTTGAAAACAGCCATATCCGATACATATATGCATAAGCGTAGCTGCATTAAACACACACACACACACACACACACACACACACACACACACACACACATACACACACTAGGGGCACCGGGGTGACTCAGTAGGTTAAGAGTCAGACTCTTGATCTCGACTCAGGTCATGATCTCGAAGTTTGTGGGTTCAAGCCCCACATGGAACTCTGTGCTGATGGTGCATGGAGCCTGCTTGGGATTCTGACTCCTTCTCTCTGCCCCTCTCCCATTTGTGCTTTCACTCTCTCTGTCTCTCTCTGTCTCTCTCTGTCTCTCTCTCTCAAAATAAATTAATAAACTTAAAAATAAAACACATTAGTCATGGAAACTGAAATTTGAATTTCATATAATTTCCATATCACAAAAATCATTTCTTATTTGTTTGTTTATTCAAAAGTGAGGATAAAGAGAGAGAGAGAGAGAGAGAGAGAGAGAGAGCTAGAGAGAGGGGCAGAGGGAGAGAGAGAGAGAAAGAGAGAGAGAGAGAGAGAGGGAGAGAATCTTAAGCAGGCTTCATGATCAGCACAGAGTCTGATGCGGTGCTCAACCTCACAACCCTGAGATCATGACCTGAGCTGAAATCAAATCTAACTCTGGACCAACTAAGCCACCCAGGCACACCTCACAGACATTATTTAAAATTTTTTTCCCAAAATTTAAAAATGAAAACTAACAGAAAACCCAAACTTGCTTACTATGCAGGTAATACCAAAATGTGCACAGACTCAATCTGGCACACAGACTGTAGTCTAACTTACCCATGATCTAAACCATAAATAAAACTTTATAGTTGAATTAGTAACAGAACTACCAAACAATATTTCTCAGCTTCACCTCTAAGGAAATAGAAACACAGGGAATTAAAGAGACTTGCCAATCGTAATACAGATAATAAGCAAAGAAGCTGTAACTCAAATCTTTGTACTCACTAATTATTGATATCTCATGAAGACATTGAATCTACTCCAATGACAGGTATTTATGGATGGCATAAATTTTAGAATTTGTGTGGTATCTTATATAAAATTATAGTCTCACTCATAATGGGGTTCAATCTGCATTTTTCATGTAAACATCAAGTTTTTATATGATTTTTGGAAAGAAAAAACACTACTGTTTTAAAATTATATAGACATTACTATATAATTTGTTCCAGGAGAAAAGGACTTACTTTCTAACCAGTGTGCTATAATATTTTTCTTACTCTAATCCTTCAATTATTTTTGAAATCTTTACATCTATGAGATATATAAAGGTATTTAACAATTTCTAGAGATCCAATACATGAGATACATTCATGCTAGTTATGGTATCTGATCTTTCATGGCCATTACCATCAGAAAAAAATATGTATTATGAATTATCAATTATACATAAATGTATATATAATTATATGCATGTATAATGATGTGTATATATTATACATGTGTATATATGTATGTATATATATTATACATATGTATGTATATATATGTATGTATATATACACACACATATATGTGTATATATATACACACACACATATATATATATTATATATATATATATATATATATATATATATATATAATATATATACACATAGTTATACTATTTACCATTAGAAATAGTCCTTTGATCATGGTCACAGCCACATATAAGCATCTTAGTAGTCAGCAATATATATTGACTACTGTCAACAAAATAAATACCTTCATATTAACTCAATCATTGATTAAAAATATTAAGAAAAGTATCATAAAAATATATAAGAAGTTGGTATATAAAAACACTTAGGAGCTTAACCCTAATCAAATGTCTAATAAAGCTGTTTTATAATGTGAAATATAACTGTAGTTATACACGATTATATTCAAGAGCTCAAGGATAATTTAAAATAAACTTACATAATACATCTATAAAAATACTATTTTAATACAAAAACTCCATTGCATGAATACTAATTATTTCTAATGACAAAACTGCTGACATTTCTGTGTCAGAGAAGGTCTAAGTTCATAATTTTCAGTTCTTTGGAGGAATTCCTTTTCCTACTCATAGTAATTGTAATGATTCTATTTTTTATTCCTATGTGCTATGAAAATAAATAGCTGTTTCCATATGAATGTATTTGTAAATGCGAGACATAAATTCACTTCTTGAACAAATTAAAGTATTGGGACAACAAGTACTATTCTAAGCACATATGGATCGTTGAACTTTGCAGTCTTAAAAATCAGTTATATTTGTATTTTTATAAGGACATATGTATGTACATGGAGACAGGTGACTGGAAGAAATCTGTACAATTAAGTTAGAATTTCTCATAAAGGAAGAAGAGAAGAGAAGAGAAGAGAAGAGAAGAGAAGAGAAGAGAAGAGAAGAGAAGAGAAGAGAAAAAAGAAAAGAAAAAAGTAAAGAAAAGAAAAGAAAAAAGAAAAGAAAAGAAAAGAAAAGAAAAGAAAAGAAAAGAAAAGAAAAGAAAAGAAAAGAAAAAAGGAAAAGACAAGACAAGACCAAGTGAGGGGGTCAGGTCAGATAGGGAATAAGAGAACCACATCCTTGGGTATAACAATTTATATTTGTCCACCAATACTAGAAACAGTAGAACAGATACCAATTTCCACAGAACCTCTACCAGCTTGAATAGCTTCACAGACTTCTACCGCCTCCTGATGGGTAACAAGCTCTCAACCATATGCTCATTGGCACCCAGGCCCAGAAAGAATGTCTGAAATTGATCTACCTAATAAGGCTTCATCTTTTACTAGATGAGGCGACCCAAGAGGAAATGAAAGTCGCCCGATCTTTTCCTTTCCAGCAAATTTTGTTTTTTGTTTTTCACGTGGATTGATATGACAAGAAATATCCATAACAAAATATTTATAGTAATAAAATACATTTTCCTTTTTGGGTACTCCTAAAGGGGGGAGGGCATTTTTTTTAATTTTTCTTTTTCTCAAAGATAATAAAGAATTACAGAAAAGTATTCTGAAGTTCATAATAAAAACACGAGTTTCAAGTAATTCAATATATATGTGTATATGTGTGTGTGTGTGTATACACACACACACACACACACACACACATAATTTTAGCACATTTGTTTTCATCTACTTTGTGGAATACTTTGTAGAAATAAATAAATGATGAAGATGAGTTGTTTCATCTCATTTTAATATGCATATAAGAAAAAGACAGAATTGTTTCAGATCTTTTCTTATGTACCACATTCTGACTCCTCAGCTCCTGCTGGCTATGGAAATACAGCTGCAACCCAGTCCCTGTTGGATCAGGGGCGAAGCAGATGGTTTGTGATCCTGTACTGCCTACACATTAGGGAAGCACTATGGCTTGGATCTTGGATGCAGTAGTATTTTTTTTTTTTTTTTTTTTTTTTTTTTTTTTTTAGTACTAACAGTGTTAAAGTGAAAATAAATAGTCAAGCAGGGAGATGAAATTCACTGAGCCTGCCGTCATGGAGATTCTACTGCTGTGCTTACTGTTTCTCCCAGAGGTACTGAGTAAACTAAGTGGCTGCTTCCAAGGATCGGTAATTCATCAGAAGGTCTCTCCACCTCCTGCTCTATTCTCTGCCCTGGAGCCTGCATGACACATGGTGAAGCTGTCCCCAATTAGTGAACACACAGTCTCCTGATTGGTTTGGTAAACCATTAAACTGTCTTGTATTTTCACGAGAAAGGGAAGGTGGTCTAAAGTTATGACTATTTTACCAACTTCACTCTTTAGGAATTTTAACAAAACCTATACATCCTGTGGACATGTAATCTATATTTAAAATATATCAGCATTTTTATGGAAATTAATATGGGGAATTGAAAAAACATCCATGTGCTTTTAAAAGATGGCTTAGATTCAAATACAATCACTGTGACCATTAACAAAAATATATTAGATGCCATGAAATATAATAGATGCACATTGTTTCATGTGCATTAGCCATAGATTGAAAAATACAAATACCAATGCACCAGTAAATGGCTTTGTGAATTATAATATACCTTCATGATAATAAAGACAAAATCACTCAATTATGTGTTCAATTCAGTGTTTCTACTTTACACAAAAGAATGTAAAGAGTCATACGGCGGTGAAGAACATTCAGTTCAACATGTATGGACCAATGTTTAGGGAGATGTGACATGACTGGTACACTTTATTTTTTTCAATCATGATTTTGAACCATCCTTTATAAGTAATACCATTCTATAGCATATTTCCCTCTACTTTCTATGTCTTTTCAAATCCCACGCAACTCTACCCTCATCTTATCATAATTTCCTAGAATAGGAAAAAACAAACAAAAACTTACTTTTCCGACATATTGTGGATCGGGTCCCATATGTTCTTCTAAAACAAAGAACTGATTCCAAACCCATCCCCTTTTGGGACGATGGTGGACTTCGGTTTCACCTTCAATGTGTTTGGTCTGGTTTCTGGTCACCTTGATGGAGCTGTGGTGAGCAGTTCCATAACACCTCTGCACAAAACAGAGACAAACGAGGACTGGACAGATACAAGATGTGCTCGTAATTTTCATTGTAAGATAGCTTTCCAGTTCACCGTCTTCTTTCTTTTCCTTGTCAGTTATAAATGCTTAGTGCACATTCAAGAGAGAAGCCAGAGCATCTTTTGGAAGGACAGTCCAAAGTAAATTGTTTAGTGTGTCCATGATTTAACTGCCCATCAGGGAAAGCTCAGACTACATTTACATCCTGAAACACTTGGAGAATCAAATCTGTAGTTGTCTGATTCCAAATCTTCACAGTAAGTGAACACAGGCAACCATTTTCTACCTATGGATAGAGAGAAAATTATATATATTACAAAACATGGTAGCTTTAAGTATTTTCTCTGAATGCAAATTATACTATTTTGTAGGATGATGCTGATGTGTAAAGAATACATACGAATTCTTTTTGCAATTCACACAAACATGCATACATATAGTCATGCATAAGCTTGTATCCTGCATACATTTTTACAAGGATCTTCTTTACTGTTAATTCTCAATACTTAAAAAAATTAATATATATTTATATTTATATTTATATTTATATTTATATTTATATTTATATATATTATATTTATATTTCTTTGTAAATATATATATTACTTTTAAAAGAATGTATATATTTGAATATTTGTGCATATATATATGCATATTTTTATATTTATATATTTATGTGTGTATCAAATCCTTGGAAACAACAGAAATGCAGTCCTAGGGACTGCAGAAATGCTCAGAAACCGACCATGAGAATGTGCACATTTGCGAAATGATCTCTTCCAATATATGATCCATTAGGCACTCCTTACTACATGCAAATTTTTGTTTTTGTGTTTATTTTATTTTTGTTAAATGTGATGCAAAATCACAACACATACATGGATTACTGCTCCATGTGACTCACTGAACTTCACCAAAATACTCAAAATGCTCTAGGGTTGAAAAACTGTCACAGATCATTAAAGCAATCAAGTAGGTAGGTACTTGAATTGCTTAGCAAGCACAAGAGGCAACAATAAAGCAGAGCAGATAGAAAGATGGCTGAAAAAAAAAAGTATGCAACTTAAACTCAGCCCATGCATGGGGATCAGATTGGCACGGCTGAGTATGAGTGAGAGAGCTTCAATTGGCTGAAGCATAGTTTGCGTGGATTTTGATAGTCCTACAGATAATACTCTAGGGTGTGGTCTTCACATATAGGCAACACAGATTGTAAGCTTGGGTATGACATTACCCACAATTCTAGCAGCTACGTAAAGAAAGGTAAAAAGGAACAAAAGAACGGTAGCAAAAAGATCAGGGGGAAATGCTTGGATTCTCAAATAAGAAATGTCGAAGACTTGGCCTCAGATTTTAGTACAATTGGGACAATCAAGCAAAACCTACGAAATATTTCTAGAAAAAAACAGGCAGGATTTGGGAGGGGAAAAAAAAAGTTGACCCTGCAATTAGTACTTTACAAAAACATGAAATGGTGTAGCAAGTTTTGCGGTATTTTTATAAGTATGTTTCAATAGGTATTTGGAAGGAAACATGGATTCAAGGTTATGGCTGTTCTATCTAGAAAAATATTAGATGCATAAGTCTCATTTCATAAAGCTCACCCCTGTATATCAACACAAACTGAAATGTAGAGCTGAATCGATTACGAAGTAGCTGACTTATCAATATAAAGACTTAAAAAATTGAATATAAACAATTAGCCATAGCATAATTCTTTCACACAACTGAAAAAAAGTTTCTATCAAGTAGGGAATGTGAAACATCTCACATGAGACTCAGAATACGGTACTCTTCTCTACCAATACGTCTTCCCATACATCTGGGTAATGATAATGCTCATTTACCAGTTGTTCAAGGATTGTATAGGATTAGAACTAGGATTTCATTTTCATTATCTAGTGAATATAACTTGAAGTTGGTAATATTCTCTGAAAGCAAAGATGTATTTTTCACTGATTTAAATTAAAATGACTCAAAATCTCTAACATAGTTTTTTTTAAAAAATACCATTATAGCTCCAGCATGGTGAGAGCACTGGAAAGAAAGTAAAAAAAAAAAAAAAAAAAAAAAAAAAATAGATAAAATAAAAAAACAGATTTACTTTTTTTTCCAACAATGTACTTATAGTACAAACATGAGTCATCTAAGTTTTTCAAGTCTTACTTTGCTCATTTAACTAAAATTTGTGGCTTTGAATCATTGATTTTAATATTCTTTCCAGTCTAATAAATTATTAAAGACTCTTAATTTTCAAGTTGCAGACTTCAGAAAAGAAACTTTAGTCTTTCTTCTTAGTAGGCAAATTGATGAATATATAGAAGGTGTTATCTTAATAATTTCACACCATTTGGTGTGATTTCTAAATGAAATTAACATCTTTGCCCTTTATGCTAAGTTGTTTAACAAAGCATAATTCATGAGCGAAAGTGAAGAAAGTGGCTTTTGTAATGCATTATAGATATGTAGAATGAGTGTGTTCTTTAAAATAATGATCTAGTCTGGCATTCCAAATATATATAGATGTATTTTAATCTATATATGTATCTTTAGAATCTTCACTGTGATAATTACAAAGTGATAAATAAGGCTCTGTGGAGTGAAAGAACAAATGTAAACATTACTACTGTACTTTTGCAAGTAATCTCATTTACTGTGAGAAGACAGAACTCCAAATATAAAAATATTGTGCTATACTTCAAGAAATCCATCCCTGCATAGACTAGAAAGAATTAAAACACAAATAATAAAAAAAAAAAAAAAACATTTATTGAAACTAACACTGTAGAAATATGTTGCAGACATCTGCCATTTTTTAAGTGACATTCAAACAAACACCTTACCTACCATCATGGAAGACTCCAATATATGAGTTCTGATAAGCAGAGCCTTTTCACCTCTGAAAACTTAAGGACCTGACACTTTCTTCTTACAGTCTTTTAGTTAGAATTTATACCAATGGCACAGCCATGTTAATTATATGTTCCAATACCCTGGAACAAATGATGGATGAATGCAGAGACAGCTGAGAAATTTTTCACAGTGTTAGTGAGGTTCTCAAGGTCCAAATGTGGTGGATGTGAGTCCAGAAGCCTTGTGGGAGAGTCCAGGGGCAGGTGCATGAATTTAAGAGTCATTCTAGCTTTACTGTTTCAATGTGAGTACTTGACATTATTTCTTACACTCTAACTTCCTTTGCTTCCCACTTCCCAAACCAGATTCTTCAGCCCTCACCAGTTTTGATGGTTGAAAAATACTTTCTCCAATAAATTTATTTGCTGCTTTCCATGGCCAAAGCTGCCACATGTTGCTTGAAAACAAGAACCTTCTCTGACATAAAGCATTACTGTCATTCCAATAAAGACATAATTTCCAAATAATGCATTAAATGCAATAATGTTTAATGTAGACCTCTCTCCATTGTTCTGTTACTTAAGCTAAGTGAAACAACACTGCTTCCGGAGAGTGGCCCCTTGCTTTTGTAAATACTCCCTCTTCCAAAGTGGAGTTAATTACAGTGTACTATATGAGTCAAGAGACATGACCTCAAATGTTCATCTTGCAGAACACTGTCGTATTTTGTAAGCAGTTTTTCTCTGAGCCTCACAGTTTTCATTTATGAATAAAGATTCTTAATGAATTCTCTTTGAGCATGTTCAGCTAATTATTTGAATTTATGATTTAATAACTATGTATTATTTACAACTTTTCTTACTGTCACTGACTTACATCACTCAAGATTAAATAGCCATTTACAGCTCTTCAATGCATTCCTTCATTTCTGAAGGAAGGCATTCCTTCAGAGAGCTCTGAGGAAACAACATTCTCAGAGAAATGGATTCTCACATTTTTCCCAAATGTTAATGCTTGTAACTTGTGCCTTTGACTGGATATTTTTACCAATTCATTCTTAACTTATAAACCTTGAACTCTAAAGAGGTCTAGAGAATGGCTTTTGTTTCTTTCTTTTTTTTTAAGAAAAGCTTTCTTTGTCCTCTTTTATTTTGAAAATGTCTTTACAAAAACCTACTCTGCTGACATTATTTCATGAATTTATCTTTCTAGTCTTCGTACGTGAGGAGTGACGTGAGATATTTCATGTATTCAAAAAATCTAGAATTATAATTGCCACCAGGATCTGAACTCTAGCATTATAGGATACATGTTAGGAATTTATCTGACATTGCATAGAGCACAACTAGCTTAAAAAGAAACTGTCAAAGAAGATAAAGTACGATAGAAAGTCCATATTTTTTGGAATTACTTTCACTGAGTTATATAAAGACATCTTGCCTGAAGAAGTCAGTCCACAGCGATGGGAACATAATGCTCAATACACAGAAGGGGGACTTTCCAACTATCAAAACTGTAAAGCTATCAGATGAGAAAATTTTTCTTTGTGTCATCTCGGAAACAATGCAACTTAATATTTTAAGAGAGAGAGAGAGAGAGAGAGAGACAGACAGACAGACAGACAGAGAGAACCAGCCCAGTGGGGCAGGGCCCATGGGAGAGGGAAAGAGAATCCCAAGCAGACTCTGCACTGTCAGCATGGGAGCCCAACATTGGACTGCATTTCACAAACCCTGAGAACATGACCTGAGCCAAAATCAAGAGTCTGAAGCTTAACCCACTGAGATACTCAGGAGCCCCAAGATTCATCATTTAAAGCTATAATACTGTCAGGCAGATTTAAATATAAGAGACTTTATATTACGTTCGAATTCTGGAGTTGCTTATATTAGGCGAAAGTTACAAATACTGAACAAGAGCCATTTTTAAGAGTAGTAAATATTTATTTAATACTTACCAATCTTTGTATCTGTGTGTGTGTCTCTGAGTGAGTATTTACCTTCAGGATGGTCTAAAATCTCAAAATTATCCTGTGGGTTGGTGATAACAGGGATAACTCCCATTGCTGGCAAGATGCATTCTCAGGTACATGTCTGATGCTGCAGCTATGGTTTCCATCATTTTTGGATCCAATGATTAAACATATCAGTATCCTTCTCTCATTCTCTGTCTAGCTC